AAGATACGCCTGGAACGGGAGCAAATGCCGCTAACCCTTTCGATGCGCAAGCTCCAGTGCGACTTCCGCGCCAACTCGACGATTCACTATCGCGAACCATCCGCCAACATCGCACCCGAACCGCCCCATTCCACAACCGTGTGTATAATCATCGACACGGCGACTTTTGCCCCCCGCGTCAGCCCGTATATTACGATCACGACGACCTCGGCGCCAACTCTACAAGAATCTTGTCGCAACTGAGGGAAGATTCTCCGGAGACGTTAGAAGAGAAGGCACGCGCAGTCTTGGTCGCAACCATGGCGGATGCAGACGTCAGAGAAGAGCGCGATGATAGGCGCGAGGACCGACGTGATGACAGGCGCGATCGTGGAAACTATCGAGGAAACAACAAGCGCCGCCGCGATGGTGAGTCTGCACTTGTCCTAGCATAAGTGATTGCGCAAGCTGCATGGGTGGGCTGGATAGCTTCTTTGATTCGATGGCTGTAACGGGCATCAAATCGAGGCCGAGGCTATCCTCCCTACCCCATAGACTGGCTTGTGTATCTGGCATTTGCACTGTACTAACAGCGTCGCGCAGATGACGATAACCACTACCGCGGTGATGACCGTCGCGGACCCCAGCGCCGCCGTAACGATGATGGAGGTCCACGTCGCCGATACGAAGAGCCGCCGTTCCCCAAGCTGCGCAGACTGCTCTTGAACATTGCCAGCTCCACCAAGCTTCCTCAGGACGAGGCTATCGAGATCGCAAAGTACTTTGGAGAGCACTTTGACGATGAGCGTCTCCGCTCTGACTTCTTCGACGTCTTGGTACAGCTGTACGTATAGTCAATCCTCCATTATTTGCCATTTCACTAACGGACTTAGGATCATCGAGCAGCCCTTCAAGATCCCGTTCGTCGCAGCCGTCGCCTACTACGCCAACGATGTCAAGCCACAAATCACCATCGAGGCCATGAAGCGCGTCGGAGACCGGGCACAGGAGGCGCTGAATGCGGGCGAGTGGAAAGAGTTCAAGTTGCTCCTGAGGTTCTTCGCATGCCTGCAGTCGCTCTACGAGGATGATGGCGTCTTCACTTTCCTTGGACAACTCTTCGACACAGTCGTTGACCTTCAGAGTGCCAACGAGAACGATGTAAGATCTTCGGATGATAATGTGGGAACTCTACTAACAGTGCTAGGTTGTCGGTATCGAACTCGTCAAGATCATCCTACTTACCATTCCATACGCCATCGTCGCTGGAGGAGAGCGTTTCCACGAACAAGCGCAACAACTACTGAAGAACACCGGCATCGTGGCGAGCAATGCGGTTCCCATCGAGAGCCTCATCCACTCCTACGTCGGCGATTTCGAGTCAAAGCCGGTAGACCACCACAGCGTCATTGGCCTTCTTCAAGCACAGTTGTCAGCTGAAGCCGAGTCTGGTTTTGAGCTGAGATGCCTTCCACGCATCGACCTCGAGGCTTTGCGTAGGGCGGATGCCAAGGAAGACGACGCCCTGCCCACGGCTCCTCAGATTCATGCCTTCCCCACTTTCACCATTCCCTCGCCTGTTAACCCTGGCCCACGACCTGTCTTCCCTGAGGCGTACTTTTCCCTGTTTGCTGATCAGGAAGTCGACACCGTCCCCAAGACCACCGATATTGCCTCATCGCTTGTTCGGGATGCCATCGTTGACACCATCAACCAGCTCGACTTCAACCGTGAAATGGTGGCCAAGTTCCTTGTCGATGTTGACTGCTACTGGTCCGTCGACATCTTTGCCAAGCGCGGCTCACCTTTCGACAAGTTCCGCGAGCTGGTCGGTGACAAGATTCAATACAAGTCAGAGGATATGATCATCGACGCCATCTTTTCGCAACTGTTCAAGTTGCCCAGTGCGGAACACAAGCTCGTATACTACCATGCGCTCATCACACAGTGCTGCAAGGTCGCGCCTGCTGCTATTGCCCCGTCTCTCGGACGTGCCATCCGTACCATCTACAAGAACCTGCCCATGATGGATCTCGAGCTAGGCTACCGATTCCTCGACTGGTTTTCCCACCATCTTAGCAACTTCGAGTTCCGCTGGAGGTGGACTGAGTGGTATGTTCATCTCTCTTTGCTTGTGGATCCGCGCTAACGTAACTTTAGGCTTGAGGATCTTGAGCTGTCTAACCTGCACCCGAAGAAAGCTTTCATTCTTGCGACTTTGGACAAGGAGATAAGGTTGTCCTTTGCCAAGCGCATTCGATCAACGCTGCCGGAGCCGATGCACACCATGATTCCTGAGCGTCTAGATGCAGACAACAGCCCTGACTTCAAATACGACAACCAACGTATGTATACTCCGCAGGTAACATGCATCCCGCTAACAATACCCCAGAAACCCCCTACGCTGCTGAAGGTCAGATGCTTCTGAGTCAACTCAGGAAGAAGGCTACCGCCGAAGAAATTCAAGTCACTATCGACAGCATTCACGAGAAGGCTCTTGAGCAGGGCATTACCGAAGTCCTCGTGCCTTCGACTGACGCCTTCGTCACCGCCATCTGCCGGCTGGGAGCGAAATCATTGTCCCACGTTCTGTCTTGCATTGAACGCGGCAAGGACAGGCTACTGGAGCTCTCGCAGAACGAGGTTGCACGTCGCCAGATTGTTGCAAGCGTCGTCGAGTACTGGAAAGACCAGCCTGGTGTTGCGGTCCGCATCATCGATATTCTGCTCAACTATACTATTCTTGCGCCGATGACTGTCGTTCAGTGGGTATTCGGTAGCCACATGGGAGCTGGCGAGGCTCTGACCGAAAGCTGGGTCTTTGAGATGGTTAGCAACACAGTCGCCAAGGTTACCAACCGCAACCGTCAGATCGCGTCAGCCCGTCTCCAGAAGGGCCTTCCCCAAGAGCAGATTGAGATGGTTGAGGCCACCCTCGCCAAGGACCGTGACAACGCTCGCGAGCTGTTCAAGTACATTGAAGACTCGATGCGTGGTGTCGCAGAGGGTTCCGCTGACGTTCTGATTGAAAAGTCGTCCAATGGCTCGCTCACCGAAGAAGAAGTCGAGCTCATCAAGGCCTGGGGCAAGCGCTGGCAGACTGTCTTCATCCGCAAGGCGCAGGTCGAAGAGTCTGTCGTCGGCGAAGAGGCGGTCGAAGCTCGCATCAGACTTCTTGCTGCTGAGCCTGACGAGGTCGCTGAGAGCATGGAGCAGGATGCCGATGGTGTTGCCGAGGCCACCAACGGAGAGGCGCAGATGTCTCTTGCTTGAAACATTCCACACTGAAGGACACGATATCAGATTCTACAAAAGCATAAGGATAGCGTTTGCATTCATCGGTGGCGTATCAGGCCAAGTGCTAATGGGTTATCGACTTGCACGTCGGCTGGCAGGATGATGCGCCCACAGGGGTTCTTCATCCAAGATGGACATCTAGTTCGCGTGATATTGTACATTACATCTCAAAATGAGTATCTTCATGAAAATTTCATGAAACTTTTGTGTTGCGGTTTCGAGACCGTTCTATGACGAGTGTTGGTGATTACAGTTTGACCAGTGTAGGGAGCAGAGGCGCTTTTTGCTTATCCGCTGCAGAACCGCCAGAAGAAGTGTTGTCGCATGTTATCCCTGTGGTGTGAGGGGTTGGACAGTTGCGACAGGCACGAGCGTGCAGACATGAACCGCCTCTACTTCCCAAGTATGTTTATTAATGAGATTCATCCCCATGATATTCGTGCGTCGTCCGGAGTCGACGGATCCACCATGCACGGTGACGGCTAGCGTGGGCCAGCATCAGTGAACCCTGCAAAATGTCGCGCGGCATACGGCACCAGCTCCAAGCCGACCACCCAAGCCAGCAAGCCCAACTTTGCAGCCACGGACGGGCCGCGACTCTGTAGCACCGCCGAAACTTCTGGGCAAAAACAACATGTTGTCACCGCCCTGTATCCTTGGTCGCATATAATTATTGTTGCTCCATTTCTTGTGCCTTCGTTGTACTACTGCCTTCGTTGGACGCCCTTCGTTGTACATAGCTTCTTTGTCGCAATCTACGATACGAAACGAATAGAACCGAGGGAACGGAGAAGAAGCACCCCCAACGAACGAGCTTCCACGAGGACGAGCGGCGATACAGCACGACGCGCGGACGAAGCTATTGCTTAGACGACGAGCTCCCTCGAGAATTCCCATCCCACGGCGATAACGATGCATATACCACCCAGCCACCCCGTCGCTGCAGGCCCAGCGACAGCACTACAGAGCTTAATACCAACACCCACACCCACACCCTACGCCGCGCTATCATGGATATCGAAAGACGCCCACGGAGGCGGAGGAGGCGGCGGCGGATACACAGAGAACTGGAGTAGTCTAATCGGCATCATCACCGCCATAATAGGCAACGTGCTCATCTCGTTCGCACTAAACATGCAGCGATACGCGCACATACGCTTAGACCGCGAGTTCCACGAGAAAGAACGGCAGAGGAAGAGGCGGAAGGCGGGCATGGACGATGCGGGGAGACTGGCAGAGGAGGTGCAGAAGATGGGATTGAGGAGCAGGAGGAGTGAGGGCATGGTTGAGCAGAGGAGACGGAGGAGTAATGGCGAGGAAGACGATATCTTTGAGGCGTCCGAGAGCGATCCATTGATACCCCGGGATACGAGACCGGCTGTGGGAAGAGAAGATAGCGCTGAGTCGGGCAAGCAGGAGGTGTTCAAGCAGACGTCGTATCTCAAATCGCCGTACTGGTGGTTCGGCATCATCCTCATGACAGTCGGCGAGGCGGGGAACTTTCTCGCCTACGGATTCGCGCCTGCGTCTATCGTTTCCCCGCTGGGCGTTGTTGCGCTTATCTCGAATTGCATCATCGCGCCGTTTATGCTCAAGGAGCCTTTCCGCAAGAGAGATGCGTTGGGCGTTGTTATTGCTGTTGGGGGCGCGGTTACCGTTGTGCTCTCGGCGAATGACAATAATCCCAAGTTGGGTCCGGGAGAGATCTGGGATTTGATTAGAAGATGGGAGTTTGAGACGTATTTGGGGATTACGGTGGGGGTTATTGCGTGTTTGATGGTGGCGAGTAATCGGTATGGGGAGAAGAATATCTTGATTGATTTGGGGCTTGTTGGGTTGTTTGGTATGTATACGGACATGACAAGGGGATGTTCTTGAGATTTAAGGCTAACGGTTCCTAGGCGGATACACAGCGTTGTCTACCAAGGGCGTTGCTTCGCTACTTTCGTACACGCTCTGGCGCGCCATCACCTTCCCCGTCTTCTATCTACTGGTTGTCATCCTCGTCGGCACAGCAGTAATGCAGATCAAATACGTCAACCGAGCTCTCCAACGCTTCGACGCAACGCAGGTCATCCCCGTCCAATTCGTTCTCTTCACTCTTTCTGTCATTGGCGGATCCGCAGTCCTCTACCGCGACTTCGAGCGCACCTCAGGAGAAGACGCTGGGAAATTCGTCGGCGGATGCGCCCTAACCTTCTTCGGTGTCTGGCTCATCACCAGCGGCCGCCCATCGAACCATGACGATTCAGACTCCGACCACGATCCAGAACCCGAAGACGCCATCCACCTCGCCGGCGAAACCTACACAGACGCCATCAACGAACCAAGCGAAGAAGGCCCCGGAAGCACACGCCGTTCCTCAACAACACGCGCCCTCTCCCCACCCGCATCCGTCCAACGCCGCTACCAAGACTCCACCGAAGAAGACACACGCCCCTCAACCCCAAACATCACATTCACCCCCACCGACCCCTCCACCCCACCAAACCCCACCCGCCCCGCCACCGCCGACATAATCTCCTCCCTGGTCGCAAACCCCTGGTCCCACCCCAACGAACCCACCCACCGCAGCACCCCACCCCTAAACCGCCACACTTCCACCCCCGTCCTCCCTTCTGAAGCCGCCCCTGCACCCTTAGTCTCAGTCTCCGACACCCATCTCCCGCCGCCCAGCACGCCCACGCGCGGGAAATCGTCGAATGAAGTTCCCACGACGCCGGGATCGGGTATGGGACTCAGGAGATTGAGAACGAGTGATCGGGTGCAAAGTGCGAGGAATAGTATTGCGGGTGGTCCGCTACTGGCGAGTCCGCTGAGTACGAGTTTGAGTACTATGGTTCAGGATTTGAAACGGGGGGGTAGTGTTAGGAGGAGGGAGAGTCTTCTTGCATTAGCCGCGAGGGACAGGGAAAGAGATGGATTGGGACAAGGGGAGGATGGTATGATGGGTGCGGGTTTGGTGGTTGGTGAGCCGTTGAGTAGGAGACGGACGAGGGATAGTGCGAATGCCGAGGATGGTGCTGGTGGTAATGCTGGGGCGAGGACACCGGGCGGTGGGAGGAGAGTTGGCAGAGGAAGGAGTTTGAGTGCGCTTAGTACGTTGAGTGGGCTTTGGAGGGGGATTAGGGGGCAGGGGAGTAGGGAGGATATGAGGGCTGAGGAGGGGAGGAGGGATGGTGAGGCTGAGAGGTGATCATGACGGAAGAGGGGTGGGAGGGTGTAGATCTGGTAATGATTGAATGCTGGACTATCCGTATGGATTAATCTTTGCTACGATCTTTGCAAACTGGGCGAATGTCTGATTGAAGGTGATTGCGCTAGTGATGATTCGCACGGTTCGCAAAGTAGGCAGAAGCAGGGTCTGTCTCATTATTGCACTGCAATTCTTAGCGCAGACGAGAGGATAAATGACTGAGATTGTGCATGGTGGGACATGGGTTGTATTGGATTTCGCGAATGTGCCGCGATAGGATCTAAGTGCACTGCAATTTCTAGCGCAGAAGAGCTGTCAGAATCAGGACAATGTGCTCCGGATTGGACAGAACGGTGACCGGCGAGCAATTATGGCCAGCACTGCAATCTCTAGCGTGAACGAATGGCCACCATGTATGCTTATCATTGGCTATGCCCATGCGGCGAGGTAGGGGTGTGACCAGTCATAAGACTCTTCCTGCGGCATGCTCACCGGAAAGCTATCTTGATTGGGAATTCTCATCCTTGTAGCTGTTTACTGCACTGCAATCTCTAGCGCCGAAGAGCAGTTCAGAGAAGGCTGATCTTGTATGTGATTGGATATCGCGTTCTTCTTGTGAATCCTCACAACCACGCTGCACTGCAATTTCTAGCGCGGAAGAATAGATGAAGGGACTAAGTTGGAGGGATAGGGCTGAAGTTTCAACAGCTGCACTGCAATCTTTAGCGTAGGCGAAGATCTGGAGGCACAAGGCTGACGACATAGAAGGGAAGAAATTGAATCAGACTACAACCTCCAACCGCCGGATGAATATGTTGCAGATGACGAGAAATTACGGTACGAAACAGATTATACCTATATCTGGCAAAACTACGACAAGTTGACTCTGCGCCTCTTTGAATCCACTCAAACGTCTGGACCGTTTCGAAGCGCGCCGATCCCGAGTATGTTTGAACAATGTACAGGAATACTATAACCCTTTCTCAGTGATCTTTCAAGCGCGAATGCACTGCAATATGATATATGGCGAAGGACCAGGAAACGTGGGATGGGATGGCAAGGCAGAAGTGAATAACGACTCCAGCAGATTCGGCCCCCATAATTTGCACTGCAATTTCTAGCGCGGGCGACCAGCCCGAAGGTATCCACACCAGGCTGTGTAGATGGTTGTGGCCAACAGCGAACGCTTCATCCCTGTGATCTGCGATAGGGTTTTGAGACATCGGTTGCACTGCAATCTTTAGCGTAGAAGAATAGCTGAGCGGACGAGGCTAAAAGACGAAGACCGAAGATCCATGTGAAACCCACATGTAAGACTCCGCAGTGCTTACCAATGCCAGAAAATCGCCAAGAACCTTAAAAGGGATACTTTGAATGAGACCAGAGGATCAGAAACATCCTGACGTTCGTCATTGACAGAGCTGCTGGAAATCGCTGCGAGGTTGCTTACATATGGCTCTACACTTCATAATAGTCTCTGCAGCAGAGGAGTAGTGGAGCATTCAACGCTAAACATTGAAGAACGCTTTCAGGTTTTCTCGTCTCTTTGTAGCACGCAGTGATTGTACTGCAATATTCAGTGTAGGCTGGATGCCAGAGAGTCGAGATTGAGAGGCTATACATATATCACCTGTGTTTCCGTGGGGACCGAAACCTCATTTTGCACTGCAATCTCTAGCGCGGAAGAGCAGGCGAGGCCAAGGCTTAAGATCAGCCTGACGTGGTGGGAAGGAAGGTATCGACACACGATTGGTGAGCTCATGTTTGAACTTTGACGCAGGTCTACCTAGGTGCATGGCAACCGGTCAGTACTGCAATTTCTAGCGTGGAAGAGCAAGTAGAACAACAAGGATGACTCGCAGCCTTGTGCGATAGCAAGCCGAAGGGACCTACAAAAGCTGGGGGTAATGCACTGCAATCTCTAGCGCAGAAGAGCAGTCAGAACGACAAGGCTGGTTCTTAGCCTTGTTGTGCGACAGCAGACAGGAAGGCAGATGTGCGCTACGAATGCGGCTGCTTGCGAAGTCTAAGTTAGGGCCAAGATCTCAAGCCTGAAAATAGGCAGTGAGTTGGTAGATGCTGCACTGCAATCTCTAGCGCGGACGACCTGTTATTGTCTTGGCAAGCTCAGACAACGAAGGCCTATGGTAACTCTGCAGACGCCGCAATCGACGGCTTTTGAAAACTTGCCTAATTCGGCCTGTACGTCAGACAACGCGCAACACCAACGTCCGACCCCTCTGAGAACCAGGGTCGGACGACAACGGTGGTGATAGTAGGGAGGTTGTGACATTTGCTGCAATATACACTTTACAGCGAACCTGCCTGATCGGGACTGTAGATGGTGATGTATCTGGAGGTCGTAGGCGCGGCGACATCTTGGTAGACAATATTCACCTACTATCGACACCTACCTAAACCAGCTTCCGACTACCTCTACGATTACGTTGCCTATCCGTCCAAAGACACAGAACATCAAATCCAAGAACTTCGCACGAAAACCCCCATCACAACAAACATCCCATCCCATACAAACTTCGAGCCTACTACCCGATTAAGAAGGTTTAGCTCAAGTGTGGATTACGGCGAGGTGTCTTCGTGCTCCTGCGCGCCCTCGACGCCCTACTCGACCTTGCCGTCGCCGCTGCGAGGTTTGCTATGACCGCCCTGGCCGCGCTGCTCGCCGGGGTAGCTGTGGTCGCCGTGGTCGCGCAGGCCGCCAGATTCGCGCGGTCTGCGCAATTCGCGAGGTTTGCGCTGTTCGCCAGATACGCACCGTTCGCACCGTTCGCACCACCCGCCCAGTACGCCCAGCACGCCCAGGTCGCTCCTATCTCGCTCCCAGCCCGCCCAGTGCGCCCAGCACGCCCATGGGAGCTCACCGTCATCCACGCTTTCTTACAACTTACCCGATTAGGCAACATCCCAGACCTCCACCACGACCATCACCTCCCTTATATCCACCATCTCAACCGCTCGGCGCTATAGCTTTCCCATTCTAGTAAAGCTTTAAGCTTTAGATGTCGCGGACAGTCAACAAATTTTGAGTAGCGGATGTACACATAGCAAAGATATAGACATGCGCGTGTGCGTTGAAGGCAAGTAGGAGGGGACGTACAGGGTGGTTGGAGTGTAGGAGGGTGAAACTGGGATCAACGGTTTTATAAGAAGTTACTTGATTAGGAAGGAGTTTGATGTGAGATGGGATGGAAAATGTTGTCAAGATGTGAAGACGTGACGAAGGTGTGGAGTATCATGAACATGTTCGAGGGGATAAGTGTGCGACGATATGCGTATCCGATCACCACTATATACACCACCTCAATCTCTGTTTCGAGTGAAGTATAGCAATGCTAATACAAACGCCATCATCCCTATGCGCCAACGATGCAAAACCAATTCGCTCTTTCTGGATACCAAAGAACATCGTGCGCCCATCAGGTTCCAGACATCACTCCCCGCTACCCCCCGCCCCATCAAAGTTGCTATGACTCCGTCGCAGCGGACTCCTCTTCTTCTTCCCCTGTCCCCCGCTAGCAACTCCATTCCCAAGCCCACCTCCACCACCATGCGCGTTCCCGTTGCTCCCACCCTTCTTCTTTCTCTTCTTCCCCGGACTCCCTATACTCCCCGGCGAGCCCGGCGACCTTGGCGAATCCAGCGAACCTCTTGACACCAAGTCTTCCGCTTTTCCTGGTCCTTGGGTATTTCCCTGCTGCCCGGCTTCCTCCGCCTTCAACAAATCCATCGCACGATCTACCTCTTCCCAACTCGGTCTACTATCCCTCGTTCCATTAGGCGTCGCAGGGCCGGATTGCGTTTCTAGGACTTGTATTCGAGCGGCTTGGTCTTCTGCGTTCGATACTGCCGACGTAGGTGTTGGAGGGATATTTTCTTTTCTATCGTCGTGTGCAGGATTGTCTTGGTCATTGTGGATACCGTTTACGCGGATAGGTGGACTTGACATGTCTTCGTCTCGATGATCGCCGTTTCTGTGTATGGCAGAATGAGTGGTAGGTGTCGTGGGCGTAGGTGGACTATACTCGATCTGTACCGGACTTCTCAGACCATCGGTTTCGGCATCAGACAGGTTGTGTTGACCACCGCCGTCACTGTCATTGTGGTGGTGGTCGCTGAGGTGTGCAGACGCGTCGCTCTTCCACATGTTGCGGAAAGTACGGCGTTGTCTTGCCATGCCTGATGTATCTGGTGGGCTGCGCGGAGGCGAGGACTCGAAGAAACTGGTGTACCTGTTGCCTAGCTGCTGTACGATTGGTACATCGGCTGTGGATCCTAGAGTACCCGATCTGACGAAGAGGACCAGACCCAGGCAAAGAAGTAGAAGGGTAGATTGCACAACGGCCATCCTCTTTTGCCAGACGAGTTCATCCGCCATTAGGCTCAGACGAGTGCCTATCTCGCCGATTTCAGACTGCTGACGCTCTTTCATGCTCTCTATCTCGATGACCGTACTCTGCCATAGCTGGTCATACATGTTGCGGAAGCTCTTGAGTTCTAGCATAACCGTACTATTAAGATGGTCCAGGAACTTCTCCGTCTTTGCCAGTTGCCTCTTTTCCACTTTCACAAACGCATCTCGGAGAGCGCGGGACTGTTCTTCGATGTATTGTAGTGAGAGCGTGCTGTTAGCTTCGAGATACTGGAGACGCTTGTGGATCGACTTGAAGAACGATTCTTGCGTTGAGGGTGCTGGCGCATTTGGCTGTGTAGATGACCCTCGTCCTTGCGATGGCGGACTTACAACAGTGCCGTTGTTCGATGGCTTTACTGCTGGACTGCTTGAAGAGGAGCCTGCCGTGTTCGCGGTCTGTGTTGCAGCGCTATCAACTCGGGACGAAGAACTTGAAGGGTTGATCGTAGAAGCTTCAGAAGTAGGGCTCTGAGCTTGCGGAGCGGATTCTGTTGGACTTGCCGAAGGAACATCAGCTGGCTTCGTCTCCCCACTAGCCGTACTGTTATTGCTGGTGACTTCGTGATTGTCTGTCACCGACGGAGATGAGATGGACGTCAAGTCCGACACAGACTGATGCTGGGGGTTATCGACTGGCTCCACGATGGCTGTAGGCGACGGAGGACCTCCGTATGGCACATCATTAGGAGGGGACTCAGACTTGACATCCGGAGACACATCTCGCTGAGCAACGTCGCTCGCCGCTGAGGCCTCCGAGTTGGTGCTGAGCTCCTTCACCGCTTCGATCGGAATCTCCTCTGGTGGCAGGGGCCCACTATCCTCAGCCGCCTTCTTGACCTCAACGCCCTCAGCCTCCAGATTCTCATCATCTTCTATCCCTCTCGCCTCCTCTTCCTCTTGCCTGAACTGCTCCATCATCGTCGTACCATGGACACGCAAAACGCTAAGCGGGCAATAGTACTCATTCCCAAACTGAGTCAGAAACTCCACACGCAGATACCGCGCCCAGATCTGCGGCTCGGTAATCAGAAAAGGCTGGATGTCCCTCGAATTCCGTGCCTCAAACGTGCCCAGCGTACGCCACTTCTCCATCTTCACAGGGTAGCGATCGGACACGCTCACCCTGAAATGGCGGAACATGGAGGAGAAGAACTCGTAGTTAGCGAGAACGATGGTGTCCACGAGGATGTCGTCACAGAGCTCTACTATGAGGAACTTGTTATCTGCAGAACATATGTTCAGCATGTAGCTGTCCTTGTTCTCGACCAGAATGGAAGACGAGCTCTTCGCCTGCTTGTTGGTCTTCAACACTGTAGCTGCACAGTCGAATGAGGCGTAGTTGAAGCGCTCCTTGCACGTCTTGCCCGCATCTTTGCTGAGGGCGAATGAGTTTGGTGCGACTTTGCCCTCTCCACCAGCAGCCTTTGAGGTATCAGCGCTCTGTTTGCCGTGCTGGAAGTTGTTCGCTATGTTCTCGTCGTCCGGTGACCCAAAGCCACTGAAGTCGATAGATATCTCGCCCTCGTCGCCGAGCGAGTCTAGGGCGTTGACGTTTACGGGTCGTCGCCGTGCGGCTTGGTCTGTGCCTGCTGCCCGTCCCTGTCCGACATTTTCTGGCGATTGACCGACCTTGGCCAGGTTCCTCTTCTTCCATTCGTCAAAGGAGAGGAAGTTGGCGTTGTCGAATGGCGAGTCTGCCTCCAAGTCAAACTCCGGCTCTGCGCTCGCTTTGTCGCTGCTGGATGCAGTTGAGGTTGCGCCAGTCGGATCGGCCTGGGTGGCTACTGGAGTTGCGCCCTGGTCTCCTGCAATGCCTTCTATTCCTACATCTAAACCAGGTATAGGAGTCTGTAGACCAGCTAGAGCTCCTTCCTCAGCGCCCGTACCATTGGTCGCTCCTGCCTCGGCGGGCGCTGACCAGCTCGTCTTTGCGCATTGCTGCGGGAGCGTATGCGTGATGTAGTTTATAGTGCGATACGGACACGTGCTGTGACTCGAGGTATATCTCCGGACGGCCGACGGTGACGGCGACGATGAGGGCGTGGGCGAAGGCGCGGGGGTAGAGGTATGTTGCGTCGTGGCACCTGAGTGTGCAGTAGCGCTCGATTCGACGGTAGGCGCCTCATTCGCCGCCTCAGCGAGGGTGAACGCGGGTGCGCTGCATAGCAGCAGGAAGAGAGCCCAATTACGGAGCGGAGTGCCAGTCGTGAGCATTGCTTGGTTGCATTTCTTCGAGCCGCCCAGTGAAGTCGAGGAGGAACATGGGGTAGGCCAGGAGGAGCTGGGGTTGCAGGCGCGGCGTGAACAGGCGTTCGCGTTCCTCAAGACACGTTTGATTGTTTCACCGCTTGCCTAGTGAATGGCTGCGGCGCCTCCAACCTTGGAATGTTTAAGCGATGACGTTGCCAAGAGATAGAGATATCCGCCATACTTGACTCACGTCCATCACATGCCATCTGGAATGTTTGCATCTGCATGTCACTCTGCACGTCATGTTTCAAGGTTGCTCAGATGTGTAAATGCATGGTAGACATATGCAGGGTCATGACTGATAGCGTGGCACGCGGCACGCTCATATACAAGATGCGTGCTTTTCGTATAGAATTTCATGAAGCTGCTCTACCCTATGCAGCCGCAGTACCCATTAACAAGCGAGCGAAGGTCTACACCCAAACCGTACAGTCCGCCACCATCGCTCTGCAACGTCATACGCCATCATCTAGTACTCGTGTGTATCGTTATGGTGATCCGTTGATGCCGAGAGGAGAAAACGCCATACGAGAGTGCAACAAGCTGCCGATGCCCAAAATCTCGCTATGCTGTGGCATCGGGCGTAAAGGGGGTATGTCCAAAATAAGAAATCCAAGTCAAGAAACGAACGCAAACATCCAGACAAATGGCTCAAGATCCGTGTCGTGTGAGCGAGGACGAAGGCTAAGAATATGGAGGTCCAGCCGTAATCAAGTGGCCTAGAAGCCTTCGTTGCCTGCACGGCAGACCTTGGCCTCGGAGACCCATTCAGAAGCGAGCACTTGGTGCGCAGTCAGGCGGCGGGCAGGTATAGGATCGAGGATTGAGTAGATGACGTTACGACATTGTCGCTGGGGGTTGTTAGCAAAATTCCAAAAATGATCTAGGCTAAGACTCACTCTTCGCAATACCTCAATGGGTCGATAACCCTCCTCCTCTTTCCGGTCCTCGAGGTAGCGGTCGAAGAACTCGTCTTCGCCTTTTTGAGCCACACGCCAGAGGTGGCGCCCGGTCCTCATGGCCATGTAGATGATGCCGCAAGCCCACACATCGACGGCACGGGGGTCGAACTCCTTGTCCACGTACTCTTCAGGCGCAATGTAGGGGGCTGAGCCGCAGAGACCGGCTGTCATGTGTGCCTCCTTCTCCCAGGCCATGCGGAAGCACTCGCCGTTGCCAAAGTCTGTGATTTTGATCGACCCGTGGGTGGTGAGGAGCAGGTTCTCGGGCTTCAGGTCCCGATGTGCAACTCCCATCTCGTGCATGTACTCTACACCGCGCATCAGCTGCTTGAAGAAGCAGTCTGCCTCGGCCACCTCGAGCTGGCCAGCTGCGAGGACGAGCGTGTACAGATCACCCCCAGAGCAGTATTCCATAACTTCGCAGTATGTGCCCTTTTCGTCCTGGAGCAGGTCGAGCGTGGTAATGACGTTGGGATGTTGCATCGAAGAGGATATGCAGAATTCGGATGTGAGGCGCTTCTGGTACCGCTTGGCCGACTCGCCGGGTCTTTGCTTGAACTCCTTGACGGCATAGAGCTGCTCTCGTTTCGAGTCCTTGGGGTCCTGCTTGTGTGCGACGCGGACGATACCAAAGGCACCGCGCCCAACGACCTCCTGGCACTTGCCGTACTTCTGGACCAGTGTCTGCGGGAGGGCGTTGACGGCGTTCTTCTGCTCGGCGAGCTTCTCCTTCTCGTTGCGCATGACGTCGACCCAATTTGACATGAGACTGAGCGGCTGGTCCTCGGCATTGTCGCCCTTCTTCTTGCCGAGCATGAGACTCTGGAACATGTCGGATAGCTTCTCCTGGCGCTTGGCGACCTTGAGGACGTGCTCGTGGGAGCCGTCGTCGTTGAGCCAGAACCGCTTGTAGGGCGCGCCGGGCCCCTCCTTCCTCGTGACGGAGCCCTGGCGCACAGGCTGGGGGCGGCCGTTGGGCGAGGTGCCGTTGGTGGCCTTGACGTCGCCGTTCTTGTCCATGTGGGCGGTCTTGATGCCCATCATGCTGCTGAGGCGCGACGTCATGGTGGGCTTCTTGGGCTTGAGCAGCGCTTCGGCGGCGGCTTGCACGCTGCTGGCGCCAGACTGGTGGACGACGGGCTGGGGAAGGACGACGGTGGTGTCGGGCTGCGAGTGGACTGAAGAGGCCGTCGAGGCAGAGGCGGACGGCGAGCCCGCAGATTTGAGCGCCGTGCTGGGTGGGTTGTTGGTCGTGGGAGCCGCCATGTTCCTTGCTTTTCGTCTCTCGCTGGCCGGCGCGGCTAGGATGTGGTGTGGGTCTTTTCTATGGGGAATATGGGTTTGGAGACGCAGGTGTCTCGCGGGCAAAAAGCCCAGGTGCTGTTATTGTACGGCGGTCAAAACGGCGTATCTGCGTCGGCGGGTGGTGGTGGAGATGAGGTTCGGAAGGCGCGCGTGGGGCGATTTGTAGTGCAAAAACACGGTGACTGTGAAGGAGTCGTCGCCAGGCGCGAGCGGGCAGGTCGGGCAGGTGCGCGCAGTGTGAAAGGCGTGGGCGGGCTGACAAACGCCGTCGCGGTGAGGTCTGGGGCGGCTTCAAATTGCGTCCACCACGGGATCCGGAGCCACAGCAGAGTGGCTGTGCACGCGTGCCGAGCAAATGCGGATCAGCGGCAGATGATGTCGTGGGCTGGGCGGGCGAGGGCTGCGTGGCCGGTATCCGCGATGGGCAGCACGACAGCGAGCGCGGCGGGCTTGGGGACTAGGAATCTCGGAATCTCTTCACGAGGCCTGACGTCTAATATTCAACTAATATTCAGGTGTGCGAGGGGTAACCCATGGGTCAGTGTGCACTGCCTCGAAGCCGTGTACGTCTTGACGCAACAGGCCTGGCTTGCGCGATTTTCATCTTCTTCATGTACGCCAGTCGTCGCAGTTGACCGCTGCAATCTCACAAGTGTGCGGGCCATCGGCGAAGAAGCCTTGTCCTAGCAATGACAAGAAACGGCACATGCTTAGCCGTCTTTATTGTCGACTCTGTTGCATTACCATATACTGCTGGCTTCAATAACAGTAAAACCCATCTCATGGCTTACAGTATATGAGCTCACAGTGGAGCGTTGCCAGCTTGCCTTCCACTCCGCTGACGTATGGCTACCATCAAATTCCCTGAGACATATTCCCAATCCGGAGCATGACATCTTCCCACTACCATCTGACTGGTTTCTGCTTCCACCAAGCACTGTGACGCACCATCAGGGCCCCTTCCATGATCCCGTTTGTCACCATTTCCTCCATTCCCGAGGTCCGCCGAAACATGCGCCGGCAAATACTATCGTCGAGCCCAAGCTAATTCCATCAAGCGCTGCTGCACCTCGGTCCTGTCCCGCACAGCTTCACAAATGCTTGGTCAGCCACTCTCGACACTGGTCAATGAGGAGAGGTCATCTCATGCAGCAATTTCCAGAGACCGCGCGAATTACAGAGCCTGAAAGCCTTTGTTTACACCTGATCAACTATTATTTACACTTCCGCGATACACAAGGAGAGGGGCACTTCCTCAAACCTTGTGCCCCGCATTGCAGCCATGCAGCAACCTGAGATGGCGCCCCTCATCGTCTCCTCCCCACCACTCCCAATCCACTTCACCATGCACACCGCAACTCGCTACACCAGCCCCATGCATCGCAACACTCCTGGTACCCTCTCCCGACCACTAACAAATACCGCAGCTGCCGCTCCAAGTCAAAGGGCGAGCTGTCGTGCAGCAACCTCGCTGCATCCTGCAAGCCATTATGCACCAACGGCTACAGCTGCTCCATCCTCGCACTGACCTCTTATTGCCCTCTACGACGGAAGGAACCATTCACTCGGATCTACACAATACAAGGTTGCATCTAGCCAAACCCCTCCTTATTGGTTGCGGCGTATACTCTGGAGTCGTCTCAACTGCCCTTCCTAGAGGCCACGCTACGCGGATTACCGCGCACTCGTCATTTCTCTGCCGTAATCTTGGGCTGCGGTTGGCATGCGCGTGATCGACTTCGTAACGTGTCTTGTTGTTCCTTCGCCCTGCAGTCTCAGGCACACTGCTCGGAACAATAATGCGCTCAAATCGACCTTCGTGGCAATGATCGGGCCAAGATCTTCGCCCCATGCTGAGCGCTCAACGGTCAGCAACCACCAGTTGGCACTTCACCCGCTGCCGTCAGGTAACACACGACCAGGCTCCTATGTGGATTGACTCGGCCCGGGTAAGCGGGCGATTTGCGACCGCGTTCCTGACTTGCTGCGCGACTCGAAACGACATCTGCTGCTCGTGGCGGCTGAACTCACGCTGATTGGCTAATTCACCCCAGAGGATAGACTTCACACACGCGACGCAAGTACCCGCACGTTCGTTGGATGCTGGTTCATCACACTGACCGCGACTTACGCGAATTTCGGATCCGGCTGTGCGGGTAGTGCCCTGACATAGGGCCGGTACCTTAAGGGCGATGGATTGCTCCACGTGCCCGTCTGTTGGTAGAAACAAAAGCCACGTTCGAGAGAAAGCCATCGACGACAGTCAGTGTCGGTGAAGATAAGAATGACCAGCTTTCGATATATTCTCATCATCTTCCCCAGTGCGATTGCGATCTTCAACGCCCTATGCGGTGTATTTCGATAACCCTTGATTCTATTCTAGTCTCACGAGCATCAACGAAGACCAGGGCGAGGTGACGGAGTACAATGTGTCATATGATTTACCCCCACCAGAAGATGTTGTTGCAAAAGCACCTCATTCGGATTCTCTGGAATGTGGTCTAACGACAGCGAAAAGTTCTTCTTTCGCATCGTTCAGGTTCTCTGATTAGGTTCAAAGAAGCCAATGGAAGTACCATGTGCAGCAGCTCTCCTTCCCGCACCATCCAGCACAGCGATACTCTACACACGGCCATACACATGTATCAGTCATAGACGACGATTCTCGCGCTTGAACAGCTTCGGGGTTAGCGTACGATCTCGTAGATATAAAATTGTGCGTCTTCCATTCAATATATCTTCCAAATCTTTTTCTCAATAATTCGAAACACCAAAATGGATTCTGAGCTAGGACATGTCTTTCCCTGGCTGAGCGCTTCAAAAACTTCCACTTTTTCCAAAATTCATACATGTCCGTCCGATGTCTCGCCAGTTTCGAAAAGTCGACGTCTTCTATGGCCATGGGCGGTCTCGAGTATTTTGTGACTCATGTTCTACTACGGCAGAACGCTGTATCCTCCAAACCAAAGTCGCATATTTCCCCTCCCATGTCTTTCCCTGGCTGAGTACATCCGCAGCCCTGGCTTCAAAACAAGATATGTTGGCCGCTATCCATGGCCGTCTGTAAATGCGTGCAAAATCGAAAACATGACTCGCTCTCGCTCGTCTTGCGACATATATAAACCTGCCGATTGGGCGCATAGCCCTCATCGATACTTACTTCTCCTCCATTCACCAAAACAAAGATCCGGGTTCATCATGTCTGCCTTCTCCAAAAAGGTGAGCACGAACGACAAATGTCTGTGCTTTCAAGAGACTTTGAAGCAAAGCAAATGTCGCTTCTTCCTCCAAAAAAGGGACTCTAGAAACACATGGGTCGCTCGCAACATCACGCGACATACGTCGATACTCTGCGTCGGAAAGCATTGCTTCTTATCAACACACACTTCGCACTTTACCAAAAGTTAGATGCTCTCAACCCATGTTGGTGCCCGCAGAAAAGCTATACGATTACCAGGATGTCCTCCCCTCTTTCCAAAACATATCAAGTCGAACATCCATGGATCGCCTTCCGCTCTCTCGATACATATAAATACGCCGGGGCTTGCGGACTACTCCTCCTTATCACCACTCGTTGCTTCGGTTCATCAAAAGTAATAGTCCAGCTCGCCATGTCTGCGCCTTTACAAAAGGAACAACGGATTGTTACATGTTCTCCGCTCTTCCAAACCCTTTGGAGAGGTTTATCATGAACTCCTCCTCTGCACCTCGAGCGGTATAAAACCACTTCTCCGGCACTCTTCTTCCTTCCTCAACACACATTCCGTCTTTCTTCAAAAGATCGTGAGACATCGGAACATGTTTGCAGTTCCTGAAACATGCGTCATGCTCGATCATGTCCTCTGCTCTTCTGGAAAAGGGTAGTACCCATAACCATGGACTGCTGGTCTAGTTCCACAATCGTTATAAAGCTGAGGTTTCAACACCCTGCCTTCTTCCTCAACACACACGCCGTGTCTTATTAAAAATACAAGAAGATAGAAGCATGTGTGCGGACTTTCAAAATCACTCACCCCATATGTCATGTTCTTCGTTTTTCTGAAGTCGCCGCAGGTGCATACAATGTGTCGGTCGGTCGGTTCCTTGCTACGCCGACATTCTTCGTTCTCGATTACCAAAATACAGACCTTACCTATATTTGTCTGTGTCGCTAAGGATTTCTGAATTGCATGGGATCACTCTCTTCTTCAAAGAGCCTTTCGTGCCCTCGATGCAGCGCTCTTGTGGCTATGTTGAACCTCTATATAAAGCCACGATCCCGCACGAGATCTTCTTCTTCAACACATCTCTTTGTGCATTACCAAAATAAATGCAAAACCGAGAAATGTTTGTGTTTCCAAAGTCGCCTCACTCTTATGGGATAATTCTCTTTTCCAAAAGTTCGATCTGCAAGGCCATGACGGCGCTTTCCTAGCTCTGCTGTCGATATAAAGCGACGGTCGCGAACCTTTCTTCATCCTTCAATAAAGCACGCTCTTATTACCGAATACAGAGACGAACTGTTGCATGTCTACTTCTCTAAACTTAACAAAGTCAGCCAATATGTTCCTGTCTCACAAAAGAAAGACGCAACTGTGAATGTGGTGCTCTCCTGGCTGTGCTTTCGATGTAAAGCTACGACATTCATGGTTGTTTCCTTTTCCAACATAGCATACTCTATTTACCAAAACCGAACATCGCTACGTTCATGCCTGTGGTTTCGAAATGCTGAAACAAATCAACGATGTTTCTTCCTTCCAAAAATACGTACAGCCGCGTAT